TTCTTTATTCAAATTAAATTAATTGTTCGATTTGATTATAAATATTTAATATTGTTCTTATATATATAGCAAAATCATCCATTAATTTTTTTTTAGTTTACTAGTTTTTTAATTTTTAAAATTTTAAAACTAAATAATCACTTTTTTATTTTTAAATATTGGTCCAGTAAATATTTTATTATCATTTTAATAGAAAATTAATAAATTCCATTGGTTATTTTTTTTACGCAACTAATCTTTTTTGACTGCTAAAAAAAGGAAAATGGAGAGCAGGCGGGTTTCAGCAAGGAGCGTGGCAGCCAAGAAAGACAGTGGCTATAGACAACGACAAGGATACAGGAACAGGTTTGCAGGTTACAGTTCACAGTTTTCCGGATGGGCATCAACTTTCTTCTTTTATAACTTCCCAGAGGAATTAGAGGCAAAATTTCTATGGAACAGCTTTCAGATGTATGGTAAGGTCGTCGATGTGTATATTCCGAGTAAACGGGATAAGAGAGGGAAGAGGTATGGTTTTGTGCGACTAACAGGGGTCAAGAATGAGATTCAAATGGAGAGGAGGCTAAATGAGATTTGGATTGGCTCGTATAAGATGAGAGTGAAGATTGCAAATGACAGACAAAGGAAACCAGCATCACCCAGGAAGGTATAAGGTGCGCTTAAAGGCAGTGGTTCAACAAGCATCATGAATAGGTTGGTTCAACCAGGGCAGTCATATGCACAAGCAGTGAAGGGCCAAGGAAAGAGAGCAGATAAGGCTTCAGAACAATCACATGAAAAGGAAACAAAAGAAACCCCAAAAAAGGAAGGTGGCAAAACAAGGGTACAGGTGAATAAGGATGTAGAAAAAACAGAGGGGACTATTGAATACATTCCGACAGGTGATGAGCTGAAATGGCTTAAAGGCAGCATGGTGGCAGTGGTGAGGTCAATGGCGCTGGTATCTGAGATTCAAAAGCAAATGGACACAGATGGGGGCTCAATCTTGTTATCACCAATGGGGGGAAGACGGGTGCTTTTAACTGAGAAAGTTGTAAGGTTCTTATCTGATTATATGAAGCACAATGAGGAGCTGTTTGGTATGTGGTTTGAATCTATAGCTCCATGAGAGATGGCACCAGAGGAGATAAGCCGTATGATGTGGGTGCGCATATTGGGAGTGCCATTAAAGGCATGGGGAGAGAGGTGTTTTCAGATGATAGGGGAAACAATCGGAGAAGTTTTATTGGTTCACGAGGACACAAAGAAGAAAGCAATATTATGGGATGGGAGAGTTCTGATCCTATGCTCGGAGGCCAATAAAATCTCAAAACAAGTTAAGCTGAAGGTAGGAGAGCAGGTGTTTGAGATAGAGATAATTGAAGAGGAGTGGCGCTCTGATCAGGAGTGGCGCTCTAATCCGGATTGGTGGCTATCGGAGAATGATCGGAAAAATGACCTGGAAACGGAGTCTGATTACTCAATCTCGTGGTGTCAGAATGAGGATCCGGAAATGGCTATGGATGTGATTGGCGACGGTGAAGATGTAAGTAACGGTTCAGAGCATTTAATGAAGGATATGGTGTCAAATTCAAATCTGAAGATTGCAACGAAAATAGAGGGCTGTATTCAAATTGTGCAAGAGACAGATTTGGAAGAAGATGAAAACGTTGGGCTGTCCAAGGAGATTGGGCCACAAAGAGTGAGTTCTGCTGGGCCAATAGAAGGCAGTGGGCCGACTAATAGGATGGGCTGAGGGTAGACAAAGGAAATGAGCATAGAGGATCCCATTTTAAACGCACAAATATCAGTAGACCCATCGGCATTGCAGAAATCGGTAATCACAAAAAATGAGAGCAAAAAACAGAGATTTATTCAAGAATGTTATCCAGAGAGCAAGGAGGAGATCTGGGCAAAAGGAGTAGCGTGGGTAACACCCAGAACAAGGCAGCGACTGGCACGGAGAGTGGAAACTTGCCAAGTCGAGGATGACAAGGTACACATCGCTGCTGCTGTATCTATTTCAGATGGATGTATTGAAAATAGAAATAGGGTGTTGTGGAAGGAGATGAATATGCATGAGGTGCGCTGGCTGATGGGGGTAGGGAAGAGATTGGGTTTTAAATTTGATAATAATGAGGAGGAGATTCAATCAAAGCTACTAGAGGCAGTAAATCGAGAAGGGGCGGAGAGGAAGGACGCAATAGGGAGGTAAGGGCGTGTTTGTGATGAATGGAGCTGTGTGTGAATAGAAGTGATCAATGAAATTTATATCTTTTAATGTAAGGGGGTTGGGTGGGGCGTTGAAAAAAAAGGAAGTGAGAAGGCTGGTACAAGTAGAGAAGCCTGATTTTCTGTTCTTGCAGGAAACAAAGTTAGAAAAAGTGGATGTAAGTATCTGTAGACAGTTATGGAATTCAGATGAGTTCGATTGGGTGGTGAAGGGCTCTTTCGGAGCTTCAGGGGGTTTATTATGTATGTGGGATAGGAGACAGTTTGTTAAGACGGAAGATTTTACTGGTGATGGGTTGTGGGATTAGCAGGGGAATGGGGAGCAAATAAAAAGCAGTATTTTTTAATTAACGTCTATGGGCCAAATGATAGACAGAAAAATGCTAGTTTGTGGGAGGAACTGAGGAAAATGGTGACAGACAAGGAAGGGTGTTGGGTGATAGCAGGGGACTTTAATGCAGTCAGAGGTCCTGAGGAGAGACGAGGAAGAATAGGGGAGAGCCCAGACATGAAGGATTTTGATGAGTTTATTGTGACAATGAATTTGGTGGATGTCAAATTGTCAAATAGAAGGTATACATGGTACAAGCCAGATGGCACAGCAAGGAGTAGATTGGACAAATTCCTATTGAGTACGGAGATGAGTAATATGGAAGGAGAGTGGATACAACAAGGATTGCCAAGGAACATCTCTGATCATTGTGCTATTGTGTTGAAGTCCAGAACAACAAATTGGGGACCAAGACCTTTTCGAGTTTTGGATGCATGGCAACAACATCTAGATTTTAAGAAGTTTGTAGAAGATAAATGGAGTGAGATGACGGTGGAGGGTTTTGCAGGGTATAAATGCTAGCAAAAGCTGAAATTGCTAAAAGGTTTTTTAAAAGGCTGGAACAAGGAAGTTTTTGGGAACATGGAACCTCAATATGAACAAGCTGTAAAAAAGATTGAGCAAGTGGATATGCGGAACGAAGTATCTGATCTGGAAGATGCTGAGATTGTGAAAAGGCAAGAAGGTTTTTCTGAGATGTGGGATGTTTTGAGAAAAAGGGAACTTATCTGGAAGCAGAAGTCAAGGAGTAAATGGGTGCATGAGGGAGATGCAAATACCCGCTTTTTTCATAGAGTTGCAAAAGGAAGAAGAGCACAAAACCATATTGCGGGCTTAATGTGTGATGGGCCATGGATTGATGATCCAGTTTTAGTAAAAAATGAGATCGTCAGATACTTTAGAAGCTTGTTTCAAGAAGAGTCATGGAATAGACCCAAGCTTGGGGATATTAAATTCCAGCAGTTATCTGAGGAGAAAAAGATTGGCTGGAAAGACCATTTTCAGTTGAAGAAATAGAGGAAGGTTTAAGGAGCTGTGAAGGTTCAAAGGCACCAGGACCTGATGGTTACAATTTTAACTTTCTTAAATATGCGTGGCACTGCATAAAGGAGGACTTCATCAACTTTTTTGAGGAATTCCATCGTAATGGTAAACTGGTGAGGGGTCTAAATTCTTCTTTTTTAACCATGATTCCTAAAAAGTTGAATACTGTAGAATTAAAGGATTATAGAGCATTAGCTTGATAGGATGTGTCTATAAATTATTAGCGAAGGTGCTAGCCAATAGATTGAAATCTGTAATATCAAAAATAGTGAGTGAAACGCAATCTACCTTTGTGGGGGGCCGTCAACTGGTGGATAGTGTATTGGTGCTGAATGAAGTTGTGGATGAAATTAAGAAGAAGAAACAGCCAACTTTTGTTTTTAAAGCAGATTTCGAAAAGGCATATGATTGCGTAGATTGGTCCTTTTTGGATTGGATGATGGAGAGTTTTGGATTTGGAACAAAATGGAGAGGATGGATTATGGAATGTCTTTCAACGGCGAGAATCTCGGTCCTGATAAACGGAAGCCCGACAAAGGAATTTGAGGTGGGTAAAGGTTTGAGACAAGGTGATCCTCTATCTCCTTTCCTCTTTTTGATGATTGCAGAGGGGTTACAAGGTCTGGTACAAAGAGCAGTAAAGGAGGGAATGATGCATGGGATTGAGATTGGAAAGAAAGGCCTGTCCGTGTCGCTGCTCCAGTTTGCTGATGATACAATTATTATGGGTAGAGCAGATGCTGAGAATATACATACAGTGAAGGACATCCTAAAATGGTTTGAGCTTATGTCGGGCTTGAGGATTAACTTCAGCGAGAGCAGCATTTTTGGTTATAATGTGTCGGAGAAATGGCTAAAAGGATCAGCGGGTATGTTACAATGCAGGGTTGGTCGAGCACCGTTTCTTTATCTGGGATTGCCCGTTGACGGTAAATCTGGGAACAAGAAATCATAGGAGTTGGTTGTAAATAAATTCCGTACCAAACTCGTTGTCTGGAAGGCCGCTACTCTTTCCTTTGGAGGCCGCCTCGTCTTGCAAAACTCGGTACTCTCTGCACTACCTATTTTTTATATGTCTTTATATTTATTACCTAATTCTGTGCTTGAGGAGTTGATTAGAATTCAAAGGAGGTTCTTATGGGGCGGGACAGAATTAAATAAGAAAATTTCATGGGTTAAATGGGAATATGTATGTCGAGCTAAGGCGAAGGGGGGGCTTGGGGTGCCTGACTTACACAGTAAAAATTGGGCAATGTTAGGAAAATGGTGGTATAGGTTAAGTGACGGGGTCGAGAGCTTATGGAAAAGGGTGGTGAGGGAGAAATATTATGGTGGTAGGAGGGAGGTCGATATTACTACGATTGAGTGTTTAAAGGTGTCCAAGATTTGGAGGGACATTATTAGGATAGGGGGTCTATCTCTCAAACTTAGGAATATGTTGGTTGAGGGTTTCAAGTGGGAGGTGGGTGAAGGAAATAGAGTGGGTTTTTGGTCTGATAGGTGGATTGGTGTTAAAAGTCTTAGGAATTTGTTTCCAAGGTTATTTGCACTTTCTGTGAAGAAGGATGGAAAGGTTTCTGAGATGGGGTCTTGGGAAGAGGGTAGATGGTGGTGGCGGGTGGAGTGGAGGAGGGGTACAATAGGGCGAGAGAAAGATGAGGAGGAGCTGTTGGAGAAGGTGCTGGAGGGTGTCAAACTAAAGGAGGGGGCAGGGGATGTTTGGAAGTGGGTACATGGGATGGATGGCAAATATGAGGTGAAGCTAGCATATGATTTTTTAGCTACTACGGAGGGAGTCTTGGAGGACCAGATGTGCCAATTAATAGGGTGCAGATTGGTGCCATCCAAAGTGGCTTTTTTTGGGTGGCGTTTGTGCTTAGATAGACTCCCAACAAAGGAAAACTTGCAAAAATGTGGGATATTGTTACAGGAGGGGGTACTTTGCGAATTTTGTAATGGGAAGGTGGAGGAAGTTAACCATTTATTTTATTTATGTTATAATGCTTGGTTAGCTTGGACTCAGGTGTTGAGTTGGTGGGGTTTGGAGTCTGTTTTGCCTAATACAGTAGGGGGAATGGCAGAGTTTTTCATTGGAAGTTTGGGCAGCATAGTGGGAAAAGAGATGGGTTCATGTATTTTTCTAGTGGTCGCCTGGTACCTATGGTATAGACGAAATGTTCAAGTGTTTCGAAAAGATGAAGGTTATCCAGAAAACTTGCTGGAAAGGGTGCAAGTAAAACATTTATATGGATAAAATCCAAAGTCAATGGCTGTGTTTTCTCTTTTTACGAATGGCAAATTTACCCAATGGAGTGTGCTAGGTCTGTCAAAAACCATAAAAGGTTGAGGAAGCAGTTCTATAAAGCTTGCGTGCCCCCGAGTTGATGGCTAGGCGGGGCTGTTTTGTTTTCAATATGTAGTATTTGGGCACTCGTGGCTTTTTGTTTGTGATTTGTAAGTTGTATTACTCGCTAGTTTTTAGGAGATTGGCCCTCCTCTGTTGTGGTTTCCATTTTTTGTATATGGGCAGGAGCACCCCTTGTGCTTCATTAAATTAAATTTTCTTTGGCTGATCAAAAAAATAAATAAATTCCATTGGTTGAAAAGTTGAAATCTTTGTACTTATAATTTTAGGAGTTAAAAACTCTATAGTGTAACTTAAGTTAAGATTAATTAAAGTTCCGGATTAAGAGCTTTGTAATAATTATAAGCATAATAATATGGCTTCTTCAATCTTCAAGCAGGATTTTAACGTATTGTTTAAGATTTGCAAAAATCTGAAAAGCTTTTTTTGGATTCTGTAAAATGTAAAAACAAATTTTTGAATAAAAGTGCTTATGGACGTAGCACCAACTGGAAAACTAATTTTTGAATAAAAGTGCTTATGGACGTAGCACCAACTGGAAAGGAAAAGCCACTACGTTACTTCTTTAATCCTCTGCTCGCTGTTCCATTGGAACTCTTGCAACTTGGACCCCTCCCTTCCCTATATAAACACCTGTCTTCCCCTTCTCTCTTTCGTCGTGGGATTCAAAGAGTTATTTAGAGCTCAATACTATATAGTCTCTCCCTGCTTCTTAATTAAAAAATACTAACTCTTCTCTCGGACATAGAGAGGGAAAAAGCAGGACTTGTTATATATAGTTT